GTTTTGACAGCTTTTAAAGTGTCATGGGACAGGTGTCATTTTCCCCGTTGATTATGACGATTGCCTTGTGTGCTCATTTTCATGGTTTTTCAGTGTCATGCAAAGACGAGATAAAAATGATCCTTGTAAAAATACTTCTTTCATATCCTTATATATTTAAATATTGTAGTAAGGTTAGTGTTCTCTTCTGAATGGCTTAGGTTTAGAGTGAGTTAAAAACACCTCGCATTTGAGGTCTTCAAACATTTTTCTGTGAGCTTATCTCAGGTCTACTTCATGCAGTTCCTGGTGCCACCAAATGTGAGTGCTTTGGGAATTTGAACTCTTAAGTGAGAGTGCGGATTTCCTATCTACATTATTGGTTTAGGATCTAATCTTTTCAGTCTTGTTTTCTTTTCCCGAATTTTTGTCTCTTTTTTGTCTTGTTTGACCTTGATACTTTGCTATTTTTTGGCATTTCAGGAGGGAGAATATGTTGAATTGGTTTTGGGCAGGGAGTGAATAGTGGCTAATACAAAGCTGAATGCCTTGATCAAACATGATCATTTTGGCTTTACCTTGAAGTAAATCTTCATAACTAAATGAAGTTACTGGTGTGCTTTAACTCTGACATACTAATACATACTGTTTTGAAATTGGGTTAGTTAAAATACATGGATACTTTGAATATCCCTGAATTTCAGAATTTAATAACACTGATTTTGATATTCTTTGATTATATTTAGAGCTGTGTAAGTCTCCTTTATTGCAAATTTTATTTTAAGGTCCTATATAATATTCTAACTGGAGTGTTAACTATAATTGTTAGGTCACTACAGAATTTCATCAGATAAGAAATTTATGATATATATCTGGAATTTTTGGTTTTAGCATATTTTAGGTGTAGTATCAATTTAGTATTCCTAGTTGCTTTAGAAAATTCACATACACAAACTATCAGCAAAAAATACACATTGTGTATGTCTTTCTGAAAACTTACCTAGAAGAAAAATCTAAGGGGTCTTTCTTGACAGATGTATCTGATTACACAAAAACAGTTGTACATTTGTGGATTGTGTACTCACTAAAATTTACCTGTAACCTGGAAGTCATTAATTGTAGCATCTGTGAGGTCATTCATAGACATGCACAAAGTAGCAAAAAAATTGAGTTGTGATACAGACATTCTTATGAATGAGGGAATTCTTTGGCTTCTTGTTTTAGCTCTCATACTGTAAATAATTGTCCTTACTACAGTTTACTTGGTATGATGGGCTTTTGCATTTCTGCTTTTTCTTTGTTGTTTTACTTTTGTTTTTGTTTTTTGTTTTTTGAGACAGGGTCTTGCTATGTAGTTCAGTCTGGCCTTGAACTCACTGTGTAGCCCAGGGTGGCCTCGAATTTGTGGCAGTCTTCCTTCAGCTTTCTGGGATTACAGGTGTGTGCCACCACACCTGGCATTTTCCTTCTTAAACTATCCCTACACATAGTGCTAAAATGCAGTTAGGTTTCCTAAGAGTGAGAACACTATGATTTTACCTTGTAGAGAAAGTACATGTTGTATAAGCTGCAGGCAATGAGTTCAGTGTTAATGAACTACTAATACATATTTTAAAAGCATCTTTAAACTGAAACACACATAAAACAATATTATGTATTAACTGGATTATGAAAATGTTGTGTTGCATAGGACTATTGGTTTAGTATTCACTGTTCAATGACTTTTAATATTTTTAATAAATTAATTTTTTGGTAGTACTGGGCATTGATTGAACTCAGAGGTGTGCTACCACTGAGCTACATCCCTGTCCCTTGTTACTTTTTTTGAGCTAGGGTCTCACTAAATTGCCTGGATGTGAACTTTTAATCCTGATTCAAGAATTAGTCCTTAAACAAAGGGACTAAACATCTAGAATATATAAAGAACTTTTAAAAAATCAGGCCCTGCTCTCTCATATTTTAAAGACCCAATCTAAAAATGAGCCTCTGAAATGAATAGGCACCTCAGATAAAGAAGTACAAACAGCAAATACGCCTATGAAAAAATGCTCAACATCACTGGCCATTTGAGAAATGCAAATTTTTTTATATTAATTGGTACATTTTAGGTATATAATACATTTACATTTATCAGTGTTTGTACCTGAACATGATGTATTTTAGTTCTTATTTTTTTTCCCATTACGTATGCGCCCTTCACCCTCACCGGCCTTCCCTATTTACATAGGCTTCGTTTCCTTTTTTTTTCTTTTTTCTTTCTCATAATTTTTCCTTTCCTTTTTTCCCTTTCCCCTTCCCCTCCCGCCACCCCTCCACCTTTGGACCTTTTCCTATTTCAAATTATCAAGTATTCGTTTTAATCATTTTCATCCTTATTTACACTTTCAGTTTCTCACACTAGAGATACTATTCGGTATTTACACATGTGTGTCCTATTTATTTCACTTAAGAGTATGGCCTCAATATGCATCCATTTAGCTATAAATGACTCTAATTTCTCGTTCTTTATGGCTGAGTAGTACTCCATTTTATAAAAAAAACACATCTTCTTTATCCAGTTTCCGGTTGATGGGCACTTGGGCTGTTTCCAAACCTTAGCTGTTACAAATTGTGCCGCTATAAACATGGGTGCACATATATTGCTGTGGTATGATTCTTTTAATTCTTTGGGGAAGATACCCAGTAGGGGAATAGCTGGGTCAAATGGGACCTGTAGTCCTAGTTCTTTGAGATATCTCCATACTGATTTCAACAGTGGTTGCACCAGTCTGCACTCCCACCAATGAGAAATGCAAATTAAAACAACATGGAGATTCTATCTCTCCAGAAAGAATGGCTGATCATCGAGAAATCACCCAACAACATATGCTAGTGAGGCTGTGGGGCAAAAGGAACCCTCTTCTATTGTTGGTGGGAGTATAAATTGGTGCAACCACTGTGGAAATCGGTGTGGAGAATCCTCTACTAAAACTAGAGGTTCCATTTGACCCAGCTTTTCCTCTTTTAGGTATCCTCCTGAAAGAGTTAAAAGGATCATACCACAGTGATACATGCATACCCATGTTTATAGCAGCATAATTTATAATAGCCAAATCTTAGAAACAGCCCATATGCCAATCAAAAGATGGATGTATTAAATAAAAGTGGTATTTACATACAATAGAGTACTATACCATAGAAAGGGTAATTTGAATTATTGTAGGAAAATGGATGCACCTCAAGACCATAATCTTTTTAAAAAACATTTTATTTTATCCCTTTTTCCCGTCAAGCCCCCTTCCCTCCCTATGTTACAGAAGCCTTGTTTCCATTTTTTCCATTTTCACTTTTTTCCTTGTCCCTCCCTTCCTTTCGAAACCATAATCTTAAGTGAAATTAATCAACACACAAATTTAAATAGCATGTTGTTTCACTTGTGTGAGAAACCCAAGGGGTAAATGAAGAGCATAATGGAGGATAGATAACTGGGAAGCAGGAAGAACATGTTCAAATGGGAAGAGGAACAAGGGAGGAGGGAGGGGAAGAGAAGGAAGGGAAAAGGAAAAAGAATGGAAGGGATAAAATGGAAACTGTATAAATGGGAAGGGGAAGAAGGGTTGAAGGGAGGGGAATGGGGAAGAAAGAACTGAGACGTTATGTACAGGCACAAATTCCCTATGCTGAATGTGATCAATATGTATGACAAATATGTACTAGTAAGAAAGTAGGGCCGGGGATTTAGCTCAGTGGTTTCGCCACCTGCTGTGCAGGCGCAGGGACCCAAGTTCGATCTCCAGTACCAAAAACAAAACAAACACAAAAAGAAAGTAAAATAAAAATTGAATGCAAGAAAAAAAGAATTTTCAATCCTGCCTCAACCTCCCAAGTGCTGGGATTACAGGCGTACGCTATCACACCTGGCTTCACAGGGACAAAACTGCCAGGAACAAATAATTGACCATATTTGAATGAATATAGTGGTTATCTCTCTCTTTCCCTAATTGAATAAACTAAAATTTATTTTATATTTAAAACTTGTATATATATTTAAATAATACAGCTGTTGGGAGTTTTGTGTAAGATACCAAAGTATGTTGAAATGAAATTATACGTGGAATGCAATTAAATGATTAGTGGTATTGTGTCAAACATTTTTTCTATTTTTTATTATACAATTAATTTTAATGCTTTAACCAAGTTTTTGTTGTTGTTGTTGTTGTTTTGTACCGGGGATCCAACTCGGGTCCTTGCGCTGGCAAGGCAGGTGACGGAACCACTGGGCTAAATCCCCGGCCCTAACCAAGTTTTTAATTAACACAATTATACATTTTTTTGGGATAGTGTGGTACTTTACACATATATGTTAAGTAAATCAAAGTAATTAGCATATATACCCATCATGTCTTTGGTAAGACCAGTTAAAATCTCTCCTAGCTATTTTGAAATGGACATTATTAACTATGTTTTAGCCACTTCATTAGTATTATATACATTCATATTTTTGTGCAATTTCTGTGATTTTTTTTTTTTTTTTTTTGGTACCCGGGATCAAACTCAGGATCTTGTGCTTTCAAGGCAGGTGTCGGAACCACTGAGCTAAATCCCTGGCCCCTCCGTGATCTTTTTTAAGAAGAAAATTATTTAGGAAGTTGTTGCTGAAGTTTTTAAAAAATACTTGCAGGCTGGGGGTGTAGCTCAGTATTAGAGTGCTTCTCTGGTACCCTCAGTTCAGTTTGTTTCAGCACACCAAAAAAAAGTATTTGGAATTATATATATTAATTTGTCTTCCCCCAGCATGGAACATTTATTGTTTTTTAAGCAACCTGAACCTAAAGAACAGCCCAGAACACTTGTTATAGTAGCACTTTATCAGTCTTCTCATGCCCTTGTGAAATCGCTCTCAATTCATGAAAAGAAATCACAGAAATTTAAAACTTTGCCCTTTGATTGATATATTCAAAATGCATCCTAGGATAGTGCTGTTTAATAACTTACATGGAATTGAGATTGCTTTGTATTCACAGCCTCCCCTTTTGTTTCAGAGCTTTTTTAGGACCAAAGGATATATTTCCTTACTCAGAAAATAAGGAAAAGTATGGTAAACCAAATAAACGAAAAGGTTTTAATGAAGGCTTATGGGAGATAGACAACAATCCCAAAGTGAAATTTTCAAGCCAACAGGTGAGTCATTTTACATAAAATGTAGTTTAGTATTTATTTGTTCAATCTTGCAAAGCAATGTTTGCCCTAAGTATAAGAAAATAAATACTAACAGCCTTGTGAATTTCAGATTAGATTATACTCTTACTTAGAAAATTAAGCCTTTTCCTTTTATGTGTAAATGAATTGTTGAAATTATTCATTGCAAACTGGGTAGAGTGACACATGCCTGTAATCTCAGCACTTGGAGCTGTGCAGGAGGGTCAGAAGTATGAGCCCAGCCTAAGCAGTTAAGTAATTTAGCAAGACTCAGTCTCAAAATATACAAAAGGGACTGGGGATATAGATTAGTGGGGAGGCTCTGAGTTCAGTTTCCAGTACACACACATACACACAAAATTAATTGTATGGGTAAAGAGATCTCAGAAAACAGAAGATACTCAGTTTCTCCTGACTGAAAGTTTAATTAATTTTTCAACTTTAAACCACGTTATTCTTGGCCTGGGGATTTAGCTCAGTGGTTTCACCGTCTGCTGTGCAAGCGCGAGGACCCGAGTTCGATCCCCGGTACCAAAAAAACCCCCCAAAAAACCACCCACATTATTCTCTTAAAGTTAAGTTTTTCATTTCTTTTTTTTGGTACTGGGGATCGAACTCAGGACCTTATGCTTGCAAAGCAGGCGGTGAAACCACTGAGCTAAATCCCCAGCCCTTAAAGTTAAGTTTTTAACTTAAAAGGTGTGTGATTTTTCTTACTCTCAATGTCTAAATCCATGGTAGAATTCTAATCCATATTAAAATATAAACCTAAACAGGTTAAATTAAATGTGTGACAAAAGTATTTGTTAACCCTGCAAATTAAATTTAACGATGTCCAGAAGAGCCACCTCCCTTTCTGTATTGTGTATCAGAAGTTTTATTAATTTATATTGATAGTACATTTTATGATGTGGTTTGCTTTTACCTAACTTATATGATTTTTTTCTCATACAACAGAAGTTACTGTTTCTTAAATTTTTTTGGTCCTAGTAATGATTTTTTTTTGAGGTAGTGGAGATTGAACCCAGGGCCTTGTGCATGTTAGGCAAGTGCTCTACCACTAAATCTCCAGCCTTTTAAAAAATTTTTGAGACAGGGTCTTGCTAAGTTGTGTAGGCTGGCCTTGAACTCAACATCTTCCTGCCTCAGCTTCCTGTGTAGTTGGGATTACATGCAGGCTAGTGCCACTGCATCCGACTGGCTGGTCCTGATATTACTTTGAAAATGTTTTTCTATATTACCAGTTGTACTCTTGAACTATATTTTCCTTTTTTTGGGCAGTATTGGGGATTGAACCGGGCCATGTACACACAGGCAAGAGCCTTACCCTGCTAAGCTATATCCCCAGGCCTATCTTCACCTCTCCTCTTCCTCATCCTCCTCTTTTTTTTCCCCCTTGTTGTGCTGGGAATCAAACACAAGACCTCAACAGATGCTAGACAAGCTGCTGAGCTACATCCTTAGCCCTTCATGGTCTTTTCTTCCAGCTTGCACATTCTGGTTACTCCATCATTTGGTTTCACATAATGTCTAGGTAGTTTTTGTCAGAGATCCAAATTTCTACTTCGCAATGAAAATTTTGGTAGGTTATATGGATAAAACCAAGTAACTTTCTGTCTTTACCAAAAGTCAGACTGCTTGTGCTGATCAGATGCATTTTGATTCCAAGGCCCAAACATGTCCCCATTGGCACATTTGTAGGGTCTGGGGAAAGCAAAAAAATTTGGTCATGAATTTTAAAAGTTTCTGTAGTGCTGTGAGTAATTTTCTGATGAGGGATACTAAACCTGTAGTAGCATTAAACTATTTCTGTTCTTATAATTTCGTTTTGCAATATCAGGGATTGACTCAAAGACTTCACATTGAGCTGTATCACTCACATACACACACACACGCACCTTAAAAATTTTTTTTATTTTGAGACAGGGCCTTGCTAAGTTGCTCATGCTGGGCTTGAACTTTCAGTCCCCGTCTCAGCTTCCTACACTGCTGAGATTACAGGTGTGCACCACTGCATGTGGCAAAATTATTTTTAAATTGTATATATCAAAATGTCGAGGCTGAGGGAGGAGGATCACTGCAAGTTCAAGGCCAGCTTGGGCTACATAGTGAGTTCAAGGCCAGACTGAACTACAAAGCCAGACTCTGTCCTGTCCTCCCCTGCCCCCCCAAAAAAGTAAAGTCCTGTGGAAATCAGGGTACTTTTCTGACTTTATTGCAATAGGCTCTTGGTTTTTCATGAGTACAACATTTTTAAATTGGAGAACCTTACTTTGTGAAATTAGTAATAGAGTATTGCTTACAGGCATCAGCTAAACAGTCAAATGCATCATCTGATGTTGAAGTTGAAGAAAAAGAAACTAGTGTTTCAAAGGAAGACAGTGATCATGAAGAAAAAGCAAGCAGTGAGGTATGTTTCATCTCTCCCATCCTAATCCCATTTTGTTGCAAGGAAGGAATAGTAAAATGAGTTGAGCATGGCAAAATAGGAAGTAAAATTTTTTGGTTTTGGTTTTGGTTTTGGTTCTGGGGATCGAACTCAGGACCTTGTGCTTGCTGGGCAGGAGCTTCACCACTGACCTAAATCCCCGGCCCAGGAAGTAATTTTTGAAGTACTTGAAAAATGAATGAGAACACACAAGAGGTTTATTTTCTCATATTAAATACAACATTATAAAATAGTCTATGTGTCCTTGATGTGCATGGATTTTTATTTTAATTTTTTTAGTGGTATTGGGGATTAAACCCACATTAGGCAAGCTCTGTACCACTAAGGTTATATCCCTAGCCCTTCTTAAAATTTTTATTTTGCACAGAATCCAAGTTGCCCAGGCTTGCTTTGAATTTGGGATCCTCCTGCCTTAGCCCACTGAGTACTTGGGATTACAGATGTGTGCCACCATACCTGCCTTGGATGTTTTTATTTGCAGTTACTTTATTTTTTGGTACTGGGGATCAAACTAAGGACCTTGCGCTTATGAGGCAGGCAGCGGAACCACTGAGCCAAATCACCGGCCCAAGGAATACTTTTTAAAGAGGAATATTGTGGAATAGATGTACTAGAAGAAGCATTAGACTGAATTTTTTTAAACCTAGGTTGATTTCCACCTCTTTGTGATTATCTCATTTAACCTTTCTAGACTTCATGAAATGATCATTGGATAATCTCTAAAATCTCAGCCACCTTTTAAAATTCACAACCATAACATTCAGAATTTTCCTGTAGAAGTGGTTTTATAAATTTATATAGACAAGTTCTGATGTATTAGCAAATATGACATTTTGTATTTGAGCTGACAGTGGAAGTGTTTTTTTCTCCCGAGGAAGATGCAGGCTAGTTTCACTTTATAATTTTAACACTTGGTAGGCATTTTGTTTTGTGTGTTTTGTTCTTTTGTTTTAATGCTGTAGATTGAACCCATGGCCTTTAATAATACTGTACCAAGACTGTTAATAATTATAATTTTAAAGGTCAGAGAAGCAAGACAAACTTGCCAAGCACTTGTAGTGAAATGTGTTTGTGATTTTTAGTTTAAGAAAGCTGCTTTCATTCTTGGCATAATTTATTCAGTTTCATCTGTGTGTGGGTGTTTTTCTTTCTCCTTAGGATATGACTAAAGCAGTTGACATAACCACTCCAAAAGCTGCCAGAAGAGGGAGAAAGAGAAAGGTAATTTCATTGACCAACCATAGAAATCTTTAAAAAACTTTTTTTAAAGTTTATTTGCATATGCCAGGGATTTAGCTCAGTGGTTTCACCGCCTGCTGTGCAAGCGCGAGGACCCGAGTTCGATCCCCAATACCAAAAAAAGTAAAAGGAAAACAGAAACAAAAACATAAAGTTTATTTGTATATGAGATGACAAAACTTCACTTTTTATTCTCTTTTTAAAGGTTATGTTGTTTACTTAGCAAAACTTTCTGGTTGATACAGCTATAATACTCTTAAGACGAGTTGAATCATAAAGGAAATAAAATGTAAAAAGCTATTGCTCATTTTTCATATATTTTAATGACTGCCTCAGACTTCTCTGTAAAATGGGTAGTGATACATACATAGTTACAATGTTACTGAAAGGACTAAGTGATGGGATGCTTGTAAAGTGTTTAAATCCTAGTCCTTAAATACTGGTGTTTTCTGTACAGGTGTTAGCCATCATGATGTTTACTGTTATGTCACAATGTATGTGTGAAGTGAGTGTGAAAATATGGGGCTGGGTATCTGGTAGTCTTAATGTGTTTCTTCTTTCCTGTGAGTTTTGTTCACACCTTTTTCTGACCCGTTTCTACCTCAGACTATTATATGTCAAAGATATAAAGAAAACCAAGAGTTGAATCTCTCTTGAGAAAGTATGGAAACAAATAACCACAATGACTCTTTTATGTTCTCATACGTATTTGGGAAGAGATATGATAAATTTAACAAGATCTTAAAAGACAGAATTTTAGTCATGTGTGGTGGCACATACCTGTAATTCTAGCACTCGAGGGAGGCTGAGGCAGGAAGATTGCTGAGTTTGAGGCCAATCAGGACTACATAGTGAGTTCAATACCAACCTGAACTACATAGCAAGACCCTATCTCAAAAACCAAAATAACACAGCAAACAAAAGACAGCAGAATTTTGACAGGCATCTAGTTGGAGGGAGGACTACTGAGGCAATTTAAATATTATATACAGTAAATTTCTTCTGGTTACAGTGTTATATTTTAGTACAGTGGTGCCTCGATTCACAAACTTAATTTGTTCTACAATTTTGGAAAAGACGGCCACAATTGTGTTTGTCACCTGATGCAGAGTTTGCAAACAAAAGCATTTGTGAACTGAGGTACCCCTGTATTTCCAGACTTTAAAAGTTAGAGGGAAATGGGTATAAAATCCAAATGATATCCTGAAGAATTAGAACTTAGAGAAGTGATGGGAAACCTCTGAATGATTTTACATTTTAGATACTCTTTTATTAAGGCAGTATAATGATAGGGATTGGATTGGACCAGTGAGACTGGTTCACTGGAAAACTCACTCAGGGTGCTCACTGACCAAGGCATGGAGTTGAACAGTGAGCAAGGAAGACAGGTTGCTGTTGTTATTGAACTTACGTTTTTATCAAGACAAAGTATAGGCTTTGTTTCATTGCACTTGGCTTTATGTGCCTTGCAATACCAAGCATGTTTTACAAATTGAAGATTTGGCAACCCTGCATTGAAGAAATCTTTCAGTGCTATTTTCCAACAGCATGTGATCAGTTTGTGTCAGACTTTGGTAATTATTACAATATTTCAGACTTTTATTATTATATTTGTTAGGGGAATTTGTGATCACTAATCTGTGATCACAACATTGGGCTCTAGGTATTCAAGTGAAAAGAAAATCACCTGCTTCTCACTTTTTAAATCAGAAGCTAGAAATGATTAAGCTTAGTAAGGAAGTGTCAAAACCTGAGCTAGGTTGAACCCTAGGCCTCTTGGGCTAGTAGGCAAGTTGTAAATGAAAAGGAAAACTTCTGGAAGGAAATTAAGGAAAGAAGCGGTCTCTACTTAAAAAGTTCAAGGAGAAAGCAGTAAGTGCTGATGCTGAAGTTATTACTATTTATTCAGAAGATGAAACTAAGATAATTGATGAAGGAAGTATACCAAACAACCAGCTTTCAATATAGTGGAAACAGCTTACAATGGAAGAAGATGCCATCTACGGTGAAGTTAGTGTCCACCTTCACAACTTTAAAGGACAAACTGACTCTTGCCTAGGGTCTGGTGCAGCTGGTGACTTGAGGCTGAAGCTGGTGCTCATCTTCATTCTGAATATCCTAGGGTCCTTAAATATTATACTAGATAATACTCTGCTCTATTAATGGAACAAAAAGGCATGGATGACAACATAGCTGATGATAGCATGATGTACTAAATATTTTAAGCCAACTGTTGAGTCTCACTGCTCAGAAAAACAGATTATTTTCAAAATACTATTGCTCATTGACAGTGCACTTCACTGGAGTTCTGGGGGAGATGTTCTGTGAGATTAATATTTTCATAACTGCTAACACAACATCCGCTTTGCAGCCTTTATGTGTGAGCAAAGAAAATGAGTTTTTTGAGATGTGATCTATTCCTGTGACGGTATTAGAAGCATAGTTGAAACAACAAAGAATTCATTAATAAACTTAGTTGATAAAGCAATGGCAGAACTTGCAAGGAATGACTCCAGTTTTGAAAGAAGTTCTCTTGGTAAAATGCTATCAGACATCACATGGAACAGAGAATCTTTTATGAAAGGAAGACTCTGTTGTGGGTCAGACTTCATTGTCTTACTTTAAGAAATTGTTGCAGTCACTATAACCTTCAGTAGCCACCAGGCTGACCAGTCGTCAGTAGTCACCAGCATCAAGGTAGGGCCCTGCACCCGCAGAAAGGCTGTGGCTCACTGAAGGCTCAGATGAGTGTAGCATTTTTTTTAAAGCAATTTTTGCATTTATTTTGTATTTTTGTGATACTAGGGATTGAATCCAGGGCTTCACATATGCTAGGTGAGTGTTGTACCACCAACTTACACCTTAGCCCAATAAAGTACTTTATTTTTTTGGTACCGGGGATGGAACTCCGGACCTTGCGCTTGCAAGGCAGGCAGCAGAACCACTGAGCTAAATCCCCAGCCCCCAGTAAAGTACTTTTTAATTAAGGGATATGCATGTTTTAAGGCCTAATGCTATTAATAGACTACAGCAGAATGTAAAATATAACTTACAGATTTGTGAAACCAAAAAATTTGTGACTCACTTTATTACAGTTGTCTGGAATGGAACCTACAATATCTTCAAGGCATGCTTATGAATATATAAAACCAGGAGCATTAAAGTGGGGCATTGACAGTTTAGAAAAGGCCTTGCTTGGCTGGGGATTTAGCTCAGTGGTTCCAGTGCCTGCCTTGAAAGTGCAAGGTTCTGAGTTTGATCCCCAGTACCAAAATAAAAAAAAAAGACTTGCTAAGGAGTTGGCATGAGATTGGAAGTACAAGACAGCAAGTTTTTTTTTTTTAATAGTATAAATGAGAGATGGGATTTAAAAGCATGACAGAGGTTAGGTTGATTATTGATTGAAAGTGGTTGGTAGAGTGGGGCAGAATCTGGAATGACTTGGTTAGATGAATTGATTTCAGGAAGGCTGAGAATGTTAGTTTTTGTTTTTTGTTTTGAGACTGTTAGAGATCAAAGTGACGCACCTGTAAGGAATTGTAATGAAAGTACGTATCTTTCTAGCACCAAAGGAGAAAAAGTGAAAAGTCAAAGATGTGGTCCTGAGTTAAATAAAGATGAGCTAGATGATATCAAGAGAAAATGCTAGGGCTGGGGATTTAGCTCAGTGGTTTCGCCACCTGCTACGCAAGCGCAGGGACCCGAGTTCGATCCCTGATACCAAAAAAAAAAAAAGAGAAAATGCTTACTGGGATGCATGCAGAAACAACCTCTGAGTAAATAAAGAAGAGAAAAGGTGACTGCAAAATTAGGCTGAGAATGAACTGCCAGGAAAAATGCAAGGGAATATGTCAAGCTAAACAAGGGAGAGGAGAATTTCAAGAACCAAAGAGTGATTAAGTGTTCTGTTATAGATAGCGTCTAGTAAGATACTGACAATTAGGCTTTCTCCCAAGATACTTTATAGTTTTATTAGGGGAATGAATGATAAGGACAGAATGAAGTGAATTGGAGAATAAAATGTTTAATGGTAAAGTTACAGTATATTTTTGAAATCATGGAAAAGAAGTAATACAGCAATTTAACAGGGATTTACATAGGTAAGGTAAAGTGTTTAAAGTGGAAAAAGCAGTAGATGCCTAAAACTTTTTTTTTTTTTGCAAAACTAGGAAAGGTGGAAGATATGAAATGAGTCAATATAAATTAGTTTTTTGTTTGTTTGTTTTCTTAGGGCCGGAGATTTAGCTCATTGGTTCCAGCCCTGCCTCACAAGCACAAGGTCCTGAGTGTTTTTGTTTTTTTTAAGTATATGCTGGGTGAGGTAAGGGAAGGAACATTTGAAGGAATCTACTTAAGGAAAAGATGGACATTTTAGCCTGTTTAACACAGAGAAAGATGGAGGCTACATAAATCTCTAGGGAGACTTGGAAATTAAGGGAATTCCTTCTATAGGACTCAGTCTCCCTCCTTCAGACCCAATCCAAAGCAAGACTTTCAGGCACGGTACAAGGTCTGAAGAATGGATTGAAAATTTATGCTAGCTGTTCAGGACCTGAAATAAAAGGCAGAGAGTAACAGAGTAATGAATGGCTTGAAATCCCAACTGAGATTGCATAAAATGAATGCGTGTTTCTGCGGTCCTTTGTGTAGTTCAGGCCACTCCAGTAGGGTGCAGCGGCTTGAGAATAATAGGACACAGAAGGTAGAATTGTGTAATAATCCTCATGGGGATAGTGGAACAGCTACAGCAAAACTAAAGGTGCAAAGGGCTTTGAGGAAGCATATCAATGGTAGTTTTAGGAGGTTTAGGGGGTTTTTTGGTACTGGGAATTAAGCCCAGGATCTTTTTAGTGAGCAACATCCCTGCCCTTTTCATTTTTTGAGACCGGGTCTTGCTAAGTTGCCCAGGCGGGACTCAAACTTGAGATCTTTCTGCCTCAGCTTATGTGCCACTGTGTCTGAGGGTTTGTTGTTAGGCAAGGTCTTGTGTATTCCAGATTGGCCTTGTGTTTGCAGTCCTCCCTTAGCCTCTGTAATGTTGGGTGTTTTGTTCAGGCTGGTCTTTGAACTCTCTATGTAGCTCAGGCTGGCCTGGAACTCTTAGCAATCCTTCTGCCTCAGTGAGTGCTGGAGTCACAGGCATGTGCCACTATGCCCAACCTCATGAGGTTTCTGCCTGTGGTATAGGTTTAGGCAAGATAAGGGAAGGTAGTAAAGCTAGAAAGTAGGGCAATCAGTAGGGAAAAAACGAATCAAAGATTAGAAGTCTCAGTGAACTTAAGTAAAATATGGAAGAAATTACTTATATTTATATTTAAGATATTTAGATGTATATTTAAAATCACCAGGCTTTCTTAAAATAATTCTTATTTTAAATTTTGTTTTCATGAGTAATGTTTTTATTGCTGTTTTTGTTTTGCAGTCTAGGAATTACAAAACTCTAGAACCCAGGGCCTTTGTATTGAGCTGAATCTCCAACCCTTTTTTTAGTTTTTTGTTTTGAGACAGAGTTTTGCTAAGTCATTAAGTTACCCAAGGTGGGCTTGAATTTGCAGTTTTCCTGTCTCAGCCTCCTGGAGTACATGGATTACTGTATCGGCATGCCTGTCTATCCCTGGCTAAGGAGTGATTTTGACTTGCATGATTTTGCTGTAATAATAGTCCAAGCTCACAGCTGGTCTTTTCTCTAGTAATTAGTGTAAGCATATTTTTATTGCATTAATTGATGAACTTGTTACTGGTTTCTCCGCAAATGATCCATTATACCTGAAGTTCTTAATTTGCTGTCTTTATTTGCCAAAATCAGAAAGTGTAATAAGTGAGTTTCTTGGATTTTTTTTTTTTTTGCCCTGTAGAGCTGACCCATTTGGACTAAATTTTAAAGAATTTTTGTTCTCTTAAGTCATCAGCAGGAAAAGAGCTCTCATAGAGCCTTGTATTCTCACCCTCTGATACCTGCGGAGATGCCTGGTTCCCTGGTCCAGAGCTATTAGGTTAGGACTGGGCCAGGGCATAGTGGTCTCAAAAATTCTTAACCTGAGCTAATGTTTAGGGAGGAATTTTTGCAGTATTCCCCAAGAATATTTCAAGGGTTATCTTAGATGAGTTTATTAACTCAAATATGCCTTTTTGTATTCTGATTATAAAAGCAATAAAAATATTTACAAAACTAACCCAAAAAATGCAGAGTTGGGGATGATAGAACATCCCCTAGAATCCCAGCACTCTGGAGACTGAAGCAGAAAGATCAAAAGTTAAAGCCCAGGGCCAGGGATTTTACCTCAGTGGTGCCACCGCCTGCCTTGCAAGAGCAAGGTCCTGAGTTCGATCCCAGGTACCACCCCCCCAAATGGTTAAAGCTCAGCATAGGCAATTTAACTCAGGGAGACCCCCTCAGCATAAATTCTTAGCCAGTCAAAGATTTCCATGTCCTTTTAGAAAGGTAGTAGTAGTTTACTAATCATCAGTAACTACTATCTGAATGATATACTACAGCCTTATCAACATTGGGCATGTTTGGAAATCAGATCATTGAGTAAAAGGCAGTTGGAAATTTTTTATTAGTAAGGTTGAATTATGCATGTTTTGAGTTCTGTCTTGCTCTTATGTTTTTTGCTGAATACTGTAATTAGTGCTGAATTCTAAATAGGTGGGGAGTAGGGCGCATGGTTATAATCCCAGCACTCAAGAGGCTGCAGTGAGTCCAAGGCCAGCCTGAACTACATAGTGAAACTGTCTCAAAAAACCACTTCAGGGCTGGGGATTTAGCCCAGTGGTTCCGCCGCCTGTCTCACAGCGCAAAGACCGGAGTTCAATCCCCAGTACTAAAAAAAACACTTCAGTGGTCCGTCCATCCTTCAGTTTCTTTGTTTTTGCAGTTACCATCAGTACTGTTGCCTCATGTTTGCATTTCTCGTCCAATTTGTGGTTCTTAACCCTTATTCCACTGCAGTGTTTAAGTCAGCAATACTGATTCTCATTTGGAATCATTTCTCAGGAGAGTTACACCAGAATTTATGAGAGGACATTATAGTTTGCAAAGAGCCTGCTTTATGGGAAACAAGAATAACTCCTATGGGAGAATGTCAGGTATCAGTCTCAGTTCAAAAATAAAATGTGTACGTATTAACAAAGTTAGAGAATTAGAAATAGCAATGTGTGAGTTGCTATAGCATAATTACATTGTATTTTGGTTCCCATATTATATCAAGAATATTACCTTAAAAAAAAGAGTATTAGCTTTTTTTTAGGAATGATGTTTTTTAGGTTGAGATTTATTTTGGGGTGGGGGGTTACCGGGGATCAAACTCGGGACCTTGTGTTTTCGAGGCAGGCGCCGGAACCACTGAGCTAAATCCCTGGCTTTTGCCATTCATTCATTCATTCATTCATTCATTTATTTATTTTGGGTACCGGGGATTGAACTCGGGACCTTGCGCTTGCGAGGCAGGCGGTGGAACCACTGAGCTAAATCCCCGGCCCTTTATTTTCTAAATAGCAGAACATTTATTGGTACATTTTAGGCATACATAATGATAACACTCATTGTAGGGAATTTCCACCCATACATGATACATCCCACCTTTCTTTTCCCCTTCTCTCTTTCCCCTGAAGCCCCCTCCCTAAAAAGGTATATTTAAAAACAAATAATTTTCTAGGCTTCTAAGAGTTTGAGGATGTTGCTCTGATAAGCTGTCTACAGATAATGAAGATTATAAAGGAATTATGCTTATACCTGCTTGGCTTACGTTAGACTGGTATATTTTTGCTATCAAATTAAAGTTTGAATACATACTATTTGCTAAATATTGTTTGTGATTCAGGCAGAAAAAGTAGAAACCGAGGAGGAAGGAGTAGTGACAACAGCAACAGCATCTGTTAATCTAAAAGTGAGTCCTAAGAGAGGACGACCTGCAGGTAGGCTTATTATTTAAATATTTGTTTGGCTTGTGATTATTATTCCAGTGCATTAAAAGTGTTTCTGCCTCGGCTGGGGATTTAGCTCAGTGATTCCGCCGCCTGCCTTGCAAGCACAAGGTCCCAAGTTCAATCCCTGGTACCAAAAAAACAAAGTGTTTCTGCCTCAAGTGTTCTGAAATGAAGTGGATAGGCAGTTGAGTACAGCCTTATCACTTAATGACAGAGATACAGATACAAATGGTTTCTGCTGTGACGTATTCAAGTCGGAAATAATGTCACAGGCATAAGCTTTCTCGGAGTCATAAAGAAACAGCATTTGCCTAATATTAACAGCTATTAATATTTTCATTTGCATTATCTGTTTATAAGAATATAACATGCTCCTCTCTTCATTGCCTACTTAGTATTTTAATTTGGCAAATTTGGAAATCTCACGGGAGGACCTTCCTAATACAAAGTAAAAGAAAACTAACAAAAATTGAGCCAAGTTTTTTATGTTTCATAATAGGATTCTTACTGAAAAGAGTTAAGATGAATAATAGCCAGAAAAAAAAACCCTGAGAATCTATTTGCATAATAGTTTGGAACACAGTACAGTCGTAATGGATCAAATTAATGCCGTTAGGAAACTTGGTGAATTCTGATACAGACTTAGAAAGATGACTTTGTAAATATACGTAATAATATTGTAGTATGCCTGAGTATTTACTGCAAGTGATTCTACAGTTGAATTTGTGACATCGCTATTAAAACAACAATGAAAAATGCTGTTTTAAGCCCTTTCAGACATACTCAGGACAAATTGAAAATTACTCTGTTCTTTAAATGCTTTTCTTTTACTCATTTGATCCATGGAGATGTATTGTTTTTAAACTTGTAAGTTGTATCTATAGTAAGTCACTAGATGATAATTTTTATGTAGTATATATATCATTTGTAATCTTTCGTATATGAGATTTGCATTTTTACCAGAACTGGTAGTTAATGATTTTTTTTCCCCACATGAATGTTAGCTACAGAAGTCAAGATTCCAAAACCAAGAGGCAGACCCAAAATGGTAAAACAGCCTTGCCCTTCAGAGAGTGACATGTGAGTTTATCTTAATGTGTAATTATGAGACCTTCAGGTATATGCATATATCACTTTGCATTTTTACCTGTTTTGTTTGATAGGATGTGTATTGCTATAATTATTTTGATATTTGTAAAATATAAAGGGTAAATGGGCAAATTTTTGTAAAAAGTAAAACTTGGCAGGGAATCAAAATATGTGATTATTACTTTATTGATCTATTTAAGACCTTTTCTTGGTACTGGGAGACATAAAATTACTTTTTGCCACGCAGGGTAAATCTGTAAAAGGGAAATTGGTCAAGATATTATGCTGAAGTAATTTTAGATATATTTTGAGTAATGTCTACAAATCTCTTTATCTCCTTCAGAATAAGTACTTTATTTAAAATAGTACTAAATGTATTTTTGTAGTGAAAATTTAAGACTTATGTAAAATAACTACTTAGCAAAAAAATTTTTGCCCCTTGGTGGCGCCCCCTCCCCCGCAAGGGATCCTGTTTACTTTGGCTTTTCTGGGAACATTTTAACCAGAAGGGATATATATTTAGACAATGGAGGCAAACCTTTTTTGTGGCTATTGTGTTTATTAAAGATTTTATAAGGAAGGCTTAAGTGAAATATGTCAATTGATTGATTTACATTTCAACTACTTGGGAAGCTCAGGCAGAAGGATCACAAGTCTGTGGTCAGGCTGGGCAATTTAGACCTTGGCTAAAAAAAATTAAGGACCAGGGATTTAGCTCAGTGGCACCGCACCTGCCTTGTAAGTGCAAGGTCCTGGGTTCAATCGTCGGTACCAAAAAAAAAAAAAAAATAAGTGAAAAAAAGGAATAGATTTACAATGCATTGGAATGAACAGATTTTTTTTTTTTGGTACTGGGGATCAAACTTGGGACTTTGCGCTTTCGAGGCAGGCAGCAGAACCACTGAGCTAAATCCCCGGCCCCAGATTTTTTTTTTGAATGAACAAGTTTTTTAGGAACATTTTAAATTACAGAACAATACTGCAGAGCTGGTACTTTCAACTCCCAAAAAATTTTTTTATGGTACTAGGCCTTGAATCCAGGGACACTCTGCCTCTGAGCTACATCCTGGTCCTTTGTATTTTATATTTTGAGATAGGGTCTTGCTAAGTTGCCCAGGTTGCCCTTGAACTTGTGATTCTTCTACCTAAACTTTCTCAAATTGCTAGGATTATAGGAATGTACCCCCATACCCGGCTGAGCCCCCTCTTCTTGCAGTTCTGAGGGTTGGTACAAGGTTTCACATCCTGACCACACATTCTACTACTGAGCTTTATCTCTATCCCTCAACCAAAATGTATTTAAAGGGCTTTATTTTACTGCAAAGCTAGCTGTTAAAGTAGTTTTAAAAATAAGCTGGGTCCATGGGCGGGGGATTTAGCACAGTGGTTCCACCGCCTGCCTCGAAAGTGCAAGGTCCTGAGTTCGATCCCCAGTACCAAAACAAATAAAAAATAAAATAAGCTGGGTCCAATGGCATGCACTTGAAGTTCTCCAGTTGAGGTAGGAGCATTACTTGAGCTTGGGAGTTTGGGGCCAACCTGGGCAACATAGACCCTGTCTCAAATAATAGCATGTAAAACCAATATATTGTATATTTGAAAATTAAGAAAATAGATTTTAAGGATTCTTAGCCCCAAAAAACTTAATTTAGCCATTAAACAATGTATAGATGCATCAAAACATGTTGTATGCTATAAATGTATACAACTTTTACTTGTCAGTTAAAACTTAATGGCACAAATATACAACACAGTTTAATTACTGCAGTGAAATTAAGAAGTTCTGTACTTTATAGGTGAGTTTGATTGCAGGCATTGTTCCCTAGGAATTTTCAAATCTTGGGAAAGTACTGACCCTCCATGGGTTTTGGCTGATTCTTGTGGAATTTCTCTACTTAGTCACTATCCTTTGTAGTTGGAAAATACTGCCTTTCTTATTCAGTGAGCAGCTTTCTCAGCTAACTTTCAGACTGCAAGGATATGGGGATCCCAGTATTGCTTTTTAGAGTTATTCTTTTGATGCAATTTGGTGTCATTCTTAATGCATTATTTTATTGTGGGTTTAATTCTGGTTAGCTTTGTGTGCAGTGGTCTCATAAGACTTTCCCAGGTGTGTTTATCTTTTTGTACTTAATTACACATAGTTTGAGTTTATAGATTTTCCTGATAACCACCCCTGAGAACTATGCATCCACTGAAGAGTGAAGGTGGCTTGGGAACGTGTTCCCATCTGAAGACTCTGGGGACTGAGGCCTTCACACTGGCTATATCCCCAGCCCTTTGTATTTTTTTAAATTTTAAGACAGCTTCCCCCTGAGTTATCTTAGCTAGGCTTGAACTTGTGGTCCTCCTCCCTCAGTTTCACAGAGTGCTTGGGATTTACAGGGATGCACCATCATGCTCAACTCCAGTTTGAATGCCTAAGCCGGACAGCAATACCCTTGGTTAGATCTTTGACCCCAAGCTGTCTGAATTTGAAAATTCTCCATCTTTATTTGAAAACAGGCTGTTGATCTGGGTGTGGTAGTGCAGGCTGTAATCCCAGGACTTGGGAGGCTGAAGCAGGAGGATCACTGCAAGTTTGAGGCCAACCTGGACTACATAGACCATGTCTCAAAGAAAAAGAAGTGGCTGTTGAATAACCAATATTCTACCTTGAAACCTCTTCAACCAAAGCCACAAGTTCATGGAGTACATTTTCTTTGTTCAGGTTATCATAGTTCAACAGTTTTATTCATTGTGTAATGATGCATTAGAGAATAGAGAAGGTGTCCTCAGGCTCGGGGTTGGGGAGAGTACTGAAGCAGGTGGAAAGGTTAGAGAACAGGCTCTACAGTACAGGAAATGGGAGTGGGTACTGCTGATGTTCTGGAGCGCAGTAAGGATAACTTAATCTGTTCTGTGAAAGTCCCTAATGCATGAAGTGAATATTTGAGGAGACAGAGATGCTGATTTTGCTTATCTCATCATTACTCACTGTTATACTGTAACCCTAAATGGCACAAGTATTCTGTCAGAAATCTGTGAAGGGTTGGGAATTAGCTCAGTAGGAGAGTGCTGATTGAGCATATGTGAGGCTCTGGGTTCAGTATTCACCACAGTGCACTCAAAAAAATTGGTTTTAAAAAAATTTGGGTTTCCAGCTTCTCAGCTGCAAAGTGAATGCCGCATGTAGGTTTTTGGTCTTGATACCAGTTTGCTGAGGCAGTAGATAACCCAAGTAATTTATAACGTTTACTTATGAGGATTGAACCCAGGGCTTCAGATCACTAACACTCTACCTGAGCTATGTCCCAGCCCTTTTTATTTTGAGAAAGCATCGCTAAGTTGCCCAGGGTGGCTGCAAACTTGGGTTCCTCCTGCCTCGGCCTCAGTAGGACCTGGCATTACTGGCATGTACCACCGTCCCCAACTGTGTTTGTTATTCATGCTTTTTATGTAGGGCTGTGTGTTGGCTGTAGCTACCTTTGGTTGTGTGGCTGGGCATATTGAGTGGAGTGCTGCAGAGCTAAGCTGTACTTCTCTTCACCATGGGAACAGCATGTGTCTGTTGCTGACTGCAATAGGTACTGAAATGACAATAGGATAGAATCTAGAAGAGCTGAAACCAACTTAATAATACTTGTGTAAAGAAATGTTTGTGAGAAGCTACTGAGATATTTGGGCTTGTCTTTGCATTAGTCTTTGGAACACTAAAGAAACTTAAGAGTTTTTGTAATGTTCCTTAAACTATTGTAAAGAGAAATATGTTGGACTGGGGAATGTAAGCGCAGTAATACTAGAGCACTTGCCTAGTATTCTGAAGGCCCTAGGTTAAAACCCAGCACCATGCACGAATTGGTATTTCATGGAAAGTGGTAAGAAGGATCACTGGGGAAAGACCCATTTGTAGCAAGCATAGTTTTGTAATTGGAAATTCTTTGCTACTTTTTGAAAACCTTGAAACAGTCATTTTTCTTATGAGTGTATGTTTTGAGATGAGGACTCACTGTGTTGCCCAGGCACTGATCTCAAGCTCAAATGGTCCTTTGTCTCAGCCTCCTGAGTGGCTGGAACTATAGGTTGTCCTATTATGTTTTGTTTATTCTTTGGTGGTAGTGGAGAGTAAACCCAGGGTCTTCACACTGAGCTACATTCCCAGCTTGTTTTAGAATTTTGAGACCTTATAGGATCTCACTAAGTTGCCCAGGTGAGACTTAAACTTAAGATTCTCCTGCCTCAGCCTTCCAAATGTTGGGATTACAGGTGCATACTACTAAGCTCAGTTTAAAACAGAGTTTTCTGCATGCTAAGCATGTGCTTTATCACTGAGCTACAGCCCCAGCCCCAGATTTTTAAAATACATGCCTAAAGTCACTTTTGAAAAGGCTGTATGGTGTTTCACTATACATGTATTGTAATTTTAAAGATCTCCATATTTGGGTACAGTCTTTAAAATACTTTATAGTTTAGGCTAAGGTCATGGGTCCATGGCAGGGCACTTGCCCTGGGTTTATTCCCTGCACCATAAAACACACATAGAAGAGTCATCTGTTTTACATTTACAGATAGACCCACTAGAATAACACCACCTGAGGCAGGTTGGCCATTTCCTTCCACAGCAGTTTGGGGAAAGCAAGTGGCTGATAATGCTTAAACCACAAAAACGGTTTTTATATTTGACCCTATTCTCATTTCTAAGAAATTATTAAAGTACTTAAGTTTTATGTGTATGCTTTTTCTTCCACTGATTGAAAGTAAAAGATGAATCCTGTATGACATTTGAAAATAAGCACATCTAGTGATAATTCTCTGAAGAAGCAAAAATTGAATTTTTTTCTTCAAATTTAGTCTCTTAAGCATTGAAGGGAGCACTTAGTTGTAATGAAAGTTGGGTTTAGAGTAGAAATATTGAGTATATTATGTAACCTTTTGCACCATCATTTTCTCATTTTTCAAATGAAAAGCATTGAACTGAATAAAGTCCCTTCCAGCTCTTAAACGTATTGTCTAATTTATGAAAATATCAGTAAAATTCCCTGGATAGTAAAAACATAGTTTTTAATAAAATAACTCCCAAGTCGAAGTATTTTTTATAAAGGAATTGCTGTGGTTGAACATAAACACATTATGTTAGCATTTGACTCCATTCTAGGCCGTATTTCTGCTTTCAAATTTCCATAAATATCATTCAGCAGTAACTAGCAATTTAGATAGGCTGACTTGTTTTAGGTGTGATAGGAATCAGTGCAGCACTGTTTGATGTTATTCTTAATTGCCTGTATATTTACCATTATATGCTTAAAACATTTCTTTGAATTCCAAATGACTATTTGCTTTCACTTCTGCAATTTGAGTTTTCCCAATGTGGCTACTTTTTTTTTTTGGTACCAGGGATCGAACTTGGGTCCTTGCGCTTGCAGGGCAGGCGGCAGAACCACTGAGCTAAATCCCTGACCCTCAGTGTGGCTACTTTTAAAACATAATTTATTCTTAAAAATATGTAGAATATAAGCTCCATAAGTGGGGCTGCATCCTTAGCATTACAAGACCATAGGTTTAATCGCCCAGCACCAAAAAACAAAAAATAAAACCATACATATTCTCTTTCCTTCTACAAGAGCCAGGGATCTTGCTCATGTCACACACTGCTAAAACCCCAGAATTGAGGAGAATGCCTGGCACATTGCTAATATTCACATTTTTTTTTTTTTTGAATGGATGAATCAGTAAAATTTAGAAGGTGGGTACAATGATGCACTTGAGTTTGAGGCCAACCTAGACAGCATAGTGAGACTTTTTTTTCTTTTAAAGGAAACTTTCAAATCAAGAGTTTCTGTTCACCTGATAGTGATAATGTATGTTCTGATTTACATGAAGAGGGTGTTTTGTTACAGAATTCCTTTTTTGATAAGATGATTAAGACATTTTTACTTAAAAATGTTATAGATTTACTTTTAAATAGCAGTTGTGCTTTGTTTTTTGAGACAAGGTCTTAGTTCACTGGGCTGACCTTGAACTCAAAAAGTTGTCCTACTTTAGTCTTTGTAGTTGGGATTACAGGCACCTGGCTAATTTTTATCTAAAATAATTACTTCATAATGTGAAGATTATAGATGAATGCGAAGTAATGATACACGAAAGCTTATTTTCCATTGTTACACTCTCAAAAATAGGGTTGCTGAAGAAGACAAAAGTAAGAAAAAGGGGCAAGAGGAAAAACAACCTAAAAAGCAGCCTAAAAAGGATGAAGAGGGCCAGAAGGAAGAAGATAAACCAAGGAAAGAGCCAGACAAAAAAGAGGGCAAGAAAGAAGTTGAATCAAAAAGGAAAAAT